TCTCTCTCTCTCTCTCTCTCTCTCTCTCTCTCTCTCTCTCTCTCTCTCTCTCTGCCTATTTCTGCCTGTCGTCATACTCGTATCTTTTCGGCGAACCATCTACTACATGATCTCAAAGTTGGCTACTACAGATGCTGCACCATAGCCTGGGCTTTCACTCTGTGAATAGGAGTCGTTGAATGTCGTTCCGTATTTGGGAATGTTGTGATAGATGAGTTGCAGGACAAGGCGGAAACACCAATTTGTTCGGAGCCTGTGTGCTTCGTCCAGTAGGATTCAAAAGCATTATTAACATCTGGCTTTGTAAGGAGTGTTCTTCTGTTGTATTATGTGGCTGTGCTTCGTAGGAGTATGTGCAGATTTAGCCACCGGGAAGGGAGCATGTGCCAATGTAACCGCCAGTCATCGTGAATGCAGGTAACTCTTGAACTTATCAGGGGAGGCTGTCACGAAGAGGGAGGGGGGGGGGGGGGGCGCACATATCAGGATGTCTCGGCCGATAAGTCGGCGATAGCGGGCTGCTACAGCCACACCAAGAGTCTGGTATGACTGCGGCGGGATGATGCGAGTGGATAGAGAACGGTGAGGAATACCTGTCGATTCCTTGTGGCACATGCACTTCGAATACCTGTGAATTGAATTGACCTCTCTGGGCGCCAACCGTATTTCAGTAGCAACTTTGCGGAAGTGGATTTTTTCATGAAAGATCGACCAAGGTCGCCTTTGCTGTGTTAAACCTGTTGGCTACTCAGGAGCCTGCGAAAATAATGGTAAAGCCCTTGTAATGATGTCGACAAAAGCTAAGCGCGCTCTTATACTATTACAAAAGAGAGACCCAATGGTGCACCCAGACGAAGAGTCCAGCAAAACATGCACAGGTGCCCGAGCCGATTGGTATCGTTAATACCAACCCGCCGCTGTAACGACGAAGCGATTAGCTTGTATGCTTGGACATTGCTTACAATGTCGTGTGGTATGCCCTTCATGGCTGGTTCCTTGTTGGACAGCAGGAAAGAATGGTTCCGGGGAATGCGTTGGGAAACAAAGGGAAAAAAAGTGGAAAAAAAGAAAAGGGCTCCAGTGAATGCGCCGGGAGGTTCTCCACATATTCCTACAATCTGCGACAAACACTGTACGACATTCTAAATGTAAATGTAGATTGACAAGTGATTGGTCGCGATGAACTTAATGGTTTGATCGGCCAGCATGTATCTGGGGCGAATCGCTGTCCGGGTACATGTTGAATGTCGAGTAGTGGAGGAGGGCCCAAAGTTGCAACAAAATCGAATGGGCTTTTTCACTCAGTGGGCTTCAAAAGAAGTTTTGCCGTCTCAAAGGTGTTTGTTTTTTTTTTTTTGGCGCACAGGGCAGGTGGAAGGCCGTCTCTTGAGGACGCCTGTATTGCTCCGTGTGATACTCGTTTTTTTTTACATTAACGCACCCGTTGTGTTTTATTAACTGCAATCCTGAACTGAGACACTGCTTGCATCTGTGAAATGCTTAGCAGGCATGTCGTGGCCGGCACAGGATCTGTGATATATGTATACACTTTGTCACAGCCCCTCGTTTGTTGTCCTCTTTTCCCTCTCTGCCTTCGGTTTACCGGGCAGCTCCTCTGTTTGACGATATATATATATGTCCAGCCCTGTGCTTACGTAAATGATCCTCAGAGGTAATGATTTAAGATACGGGTTTCTGACAATACAATCAAAGGCTACAATTCGACGATAAAACTATTTAGTATTTATTAAAGGCTACAATTTGAGGATAAACCTATGTATCCCATTCTCCATTTGGTGGGCGTGCTTTGTTTATGCATGTTTAATATTTATGCATCTTTTTACTCTTCGCGCGGTAAGGACGGGAAAAGATACAATTGTAAAAAAAAATAAAAAAATACAAAATTTCAGTGTTGAGACGCACTAGACTGGTGATGGGGTTGGTAACATTGTATTCAGCCGTGTGCTTACCTAAGTGATCTGAGAGGAAAATGGCGAAAATGGTAGAATGGAGACGGAGCAAGGCTGTTTTTATGAAACTCCTACGAAACAGTTTGTCACAGCCATCGTGTCTTGTCCTCTTGTCCCTCTCTGCCTACGGTTTACCGGGCAGCTCTGTTTGATGATATATATTATATCTTCTCCCTCTCTGCCTACGGTTTACCGGGCAGTTCTATTTGACGATATACATATATAATATATATATGGGGTGTGAACCGACAGTCTGTGGAGTTTTCCATCTGGTGTGGGTGAGTGATAGTCTGCTTTGACTTTTGCCACAGGTACCTTGAGGGCAGTGGTTGGTGCCCACCTCAGGGTATCAGTTGTCGGGCAGTCGTTGATGCTTAACCACAGCSGGGGTTAAGGTGGATTATCACTTACAGTGTAATCAGTTAGGGGATTCTGCAGACTGTTGAAGGTTCAGCCTCCTGATGAGTCGGTGAAACTCCGACGAAACAGTTTGCCATAGCCCCTCGTTTGTTGTCCTCTTCTCTCTCTCTGCCTACGGTTTACCGGGCAGTTCTGTTTGACTATATATAATATTTAGATATATGATATATATGTTTAAAAACACTGTGCAGCCCTGTGCTTACACAAGTGATCTGAGAGGAAATGGGAAAATTTCAAAATACAAATTAACTGTGCCGACAAGTGCAGGATCGTCGAATGTGATGGGGGTGGTAACACTGTATGGGTTTTTTGTGCAGCGACTGCATGTGAGATGTGGCTCTTTCTCTCTATTGTCTTCAAAACATCATTGACGGCATTGTGGAAAAATGTGTGCGATCGTTTCACTGATTCTTCGGGAAGGGAATCTTTGTTGACAGGTTGAGCACGACGGGAGGGTGACCCCCTTTTGTTCCAAGTGTGTATGGTCCATTAACCATTCGTTGATGGGCGGGCATCTGTGCTCAAGTTGCTGCTGTAGTAATGCTATCTTGGCATGCTGGTTCTTTGCCCTGTAAACCACCGGATTGGGCAGAGGACCTCCCTCCCGTCACGCATTCAGATCGGCGCATCCAGTTGATTATTTTCCTTTTGAGGTCTATACATTGGTTCTCAACATTCTATATGTGGCTTTGACCGCAAGTTAATTAAACCACCAGTACTTGGCCCACGTACATCAGCCGCGGGCCCTTGTCGTATACGCGTCGCGCTAAGTGTGCTTCGGGCCAACCGGACCACAATGGCTGGTGGATCCAGGCAAACAAAGAACAAGAAGTCGCGCTGGTGGTTCCACAAAGCTCGGTGCGCAGGGCGTTCCCAGCGTCGGAGAAAAGTGCCTCGGAAGTACTGGTGGTTTATAAAGGCATGGCTGGCCCTGGTCGGTACATTGCCTGATGGCAGGGTAGAATGCCAGCTTGGTGATTGGGGTGTCTCGCAGGAAAGCCGCCCAGTCCTGTTGTAGAATGCTTATCCTGTAGAGTTGTGCTCTGTTAACCCAGCCTACCTTGTCCAAGGTTGTTGGGCAGAGGATGTTGCTGTGGTGGTTTTTCTGAAAGGAAAAATGGGCTAGTGCCTCAACCTCCCTGACTTGCGGAACGGCAACCTCGACTTCATTTTCACACATGCATGCATGACTGGACGTAGAAGGACAGGTGGGACTTGTTACCGCTTTGTTGACTCCTTCCCTGTTGCGGTACACAAGCCATGCCGCCTGCACACCTCTCCCCGCAGACAGACCACAGCCGCAAAGATGAGCACTGTTCTACTGACGTCTCAACAAATCCAACCAACTTGAATAATACCCAAGTAGCATGACATATCTGGCCGATTAACTTTACTGGAAAGTCTGGAATATCCCGCCGTCTCATCCGGCATCCAGTTTATCAGGAATTCTGGATAAACCCGAAAATGACTGTAAAAAACAAAGAAAACAAAGAAAAACAAAAAAGGAAAGAGTGGGGGGCCCCAGTTGCGCTGAGTAAACACCAGTATTCCCCAGTGCACATATATATATATCTGTTTGTGACGATATATATGGGAAAGATGTAAAGCGCGAAGAAGATGCTATGTGAAATTTGAAAAGGAAAAAACAATAATGGATGTCATGCGAAAAGCCATCGAAAAACAAAAATCCAAGCCATTTCCTCAAGATGCAACTGATCGTGGACAACATCTGATAAAGCTACTGGAGGACTCGAAGGCAGATTATGGCTCTCATTCGACTGTCCTAGAAAATCATAGAAAACAAGAATCGTCATCGTTCCACAGGGTCCTAATTATGAAGCCTAGAAAATGAAGGATGGTCGATATGAAAACAATTTGAAGGCTAGTCCTATAGTTTTTATAATTTCCCAGCCATTTACAGAAAGTTTTGGAGGTACCTCGCCGGGATCTTTGAAACTCCAGGACTGCATTTTGCGGAATGGCAGCTGCGTCGGAGGCCAGTTTGAGTCCATCCGTGGTCCATTTACAATACCAGATGCAGCAGGGCTATTGCAGCGGTTGGGCCCCACCTCAATGTATTCGGCAGCGGCGTATGGAAGCATGATGTCATGGCAGCCACGTATGTGGGCACGTTACATTCACCCGTCAATCGTAGACTGCAGTGTGAGCGTTCAAACGAATGGACGGGATTTCTCAAACACGTGGCAACGATGGGGGTGTTTGTTACACATGACATCCGGCAGGCAGCGTACAAGAAGCAGGTGGTCTGTGCGGCAACTGCAGAGGGTGTTCTCTTGCATGACGAATGGGTGCGCGTTGCTGATGCTGTGGAGGCAGCAAGCAAGTGGCAGTGCGCCGTGCTCAGGACTCAGGAGGCCGTGCGAGATATTCAACTGGGAGGTTCAGTTGCAGGAGCAACACTACTCCCTGGCTGAGGACACAGTGTAGATGTGCACCGCTCTGATGAAGATAGTAGAAGCTCTTTGCCGGCCAAGAGTCGACGCCGACCCTTCCATGCTGCGACTGTCCCCACCAAACAAAGAGAATGGTAATTGCATGATCCCTGGGAACACACCATTAGGTTCTTTGCAGGGGAAGTTCTCCCTTCTGTTGTGGGTATTGCAGAGTATGTGAGATGATACACCTTTGAAGAGACGGGGGGGAAGGGGGCGTCATGGCGGGTCGTCCGTGGTGATGCATTCACTGCCAACAAGACGATGATAATGAAAGGGGGGGGTGGGGGGGGGCAACAAGCAAAAGTGAGGTCTTGACAACCCTGAGGTTGTAAACCTAAGTATACCTAGGTAGGGTATACCAAGGTATACCTAGGTAGGGTAAACCTAAGTATACCTAGGGTATTGATATGCAAGACAGAGAGAGAGGAATGTCTTCTCCAACTGCTGTCAACCACAAGGTTTGTCATGGTGCAGTTTGAGTCATACAAGGTTTTGAACCCGCAACCTCAGAGCACAACGCGCATTTCCAGCCGGTGCCCTAACCACTGAGCCCCAGGTATATGCAGGATATGCGAGAGTGAGGCATAGGGCTGCCTTCTCCGACTGTAAACGCCAATGTGTGTCATGGTGTGGTTTGAGTCATACTACAACTCTTTCTGACGGAATCAGGACGTGGTTAAGGTCAGGTAAATGCAGCGAAGTCTGGGGCGTGGATATGTTGTCAAATGTGTGTGGAAGCACATTCACAGATGTGTGGACGCACACGCACACAAATACACATGTATACATATGTATATGTGCAAGTGTGTCGCTTCGGCGGCAGACGGGTGTGTGGGCACTTGGCACTGAACCACACAAACGTGGCCAACCTTGCATTTTCTATCTGTACTTTTTCGTTATGGATGGCTTGTGATGATTTGTGAAGGGAATGAGGGAGAGAATCTGGGGTCTTTTAAAACAACACACACGCACACACAAACACATACACAGAGGGAGGGATCGCGTTGGGGGGGTCTGCCCCCCCACCCCCCCCACCCTGGCACAAACACACACACACACACACACACACACACACGTGTACACACAACCGGGCCAGTGGGGGATGTTTTGGGGGTGGGGGGAGGGCCCCTGTTTTTTATTCAACGGGAATTCAACGGGGTTATGGGCGAATACTACGGCTTTCAACGGCCGTTTAATTCCAGGCCCCCCGTTGAGCTGGCTACTTACAACCCTAACTAAACTAAGTTCTAAACGGTTCTATTATGATTCATGCTGCTTGCTAAAGACTAGTAAAGAAGTGAAATTCTTTAAATTGTTGGGCTGGCTCAACTCGAATCTACTCGTCTGGGTGGAATTGGGGCTGTTGTGGTGGAAATTTACATCACACACACACACACACACACACACACACGCACAGAGAGAGAGAGAGAGAGAGAGAGAGAGAGAGAGAGAGAGAGAGAGAGAGAGCTGCATGACATGGCATGCATAAATGGAGAAACAGAGGAACACTTTCACCAGAGGAACACTTTCACCACCTCCTTGTCCCCCAGGCGGCGAAGCTGTGGCAGCAACTCAGTAAAGCTATACTAAGGTTTACGTAGGTTACACCTAGGGTATTGATGTGTGAGAGAGAGAGCTATCATCTCCAACTATCAACGAAAACGTTTGTCATGGTGTACCGACTCACCCTGACCCTTGCCAGCTCAACGCTGTTCTCGGTGCATTCAAGTTGTTCGTTCCTCGTGGGCGGCGAGTACCCAGTGGCTCGTAGAGATGGTTCGAAAGCATGCAGTGTAACTTCTTCCCCTTTGACCTGCGATACCTTGTATGCTGTCATAGGTATTGAGCAGGCTGTGTTCTTCTACCCTGTCCCCTGGCT